TATGTACATTTAGGGCCAGCCCGGTGGCTCACTCGGGAGAGTGTGGTGCTGATAACACCAAGGCCCCGGGTTCGGATCCCATGTAGGGATGGCCAGTTCGCTCACTGGCTGAGCGTGGTGCTGACAACACCAAATCAAGGGTTAAGATCCCCTTACCGGTCATCTTTTTAAAAAAAAAAAAAAAATGTACATTTATAGTCATTACCTTTTGATACAATATTCTTTTTCAAGAAAATATAACTTAGGAAAATAATTCCAAACACAGAGTTTTTATGATATTTAGTTGTGGTGTTATTTATAATAGAAAAAAATTTACTAACAGTATCTTGTACAACAGTTGTTAATTTGGTACATTTAGACATAAATTTGGAACAGAAAACATTGTGCAGCAATCAAAACTATTTATAAAGACCATATAGTAAAGTGTTCATGATGTTGCATGGAGAAAGGATAACAAATTTGTATCTATAATATAATGGCAAGCCATATATCTTTTTTTTATTGCACAGAACACATACTGAAAGGGCACACATGAAAATGTTAACACCTATCCCTAGGTGAAGGATTATAGGGAGTCTTTGTTTTCAGTTATACTCTACTGTGATCTCCATGTAAAGTACATAAACAGGCAGAGCTAACGGATGCTGTTAGAATTCAGCTGCCCCTGCCTGGAAAGGAGCATGAGAAGGGCTTCTAGCAAGAGGAAGCTGGTGTTTCATGGTCTGGTATTAATCACATGGGTGTGTTCAGGTTGTGAAAATTCATCACACCATACACTTTTGATAAGATGTGCACTTGTCTATATTATATTTCAAGGAAAAATCTTAAAAAAAAAAACAAATTTCACTGTAAGAAAAATCTAGACATGCCAAAGCATAAAAGGAAAGAAACGTATGTCTTCCACTCCCTTCCACTCCCAAAAAGTAACTACAGTTCAATGTTCACTCTTTCCAACTTTTTTTCTATACACTTAGCAACATATATGTGCAACTTGCTTTTTTATCACTTAATTACATATTGTCGGTAAATGTCCTTGTCAAATATACTCTGAGAAGTTCCTTATTCTTTTTTTTTTTTTTTTCCTTTTTGTCTTTTTTCGTGTCCGGCAACGGATCGCAACTCTCAGTGTCACGCCCGCACCGGACCGGGACCGGCAACGGGATCGCAACCCTCGGTGTTGCTCCCGCATCTCGCTCAGCCAGTGAGCAGGAACCGGTCTGTATGTGGGATCCGAACCCTCGGCGGGAGCACCACCGCGCTCCCAAGCGGCGCACTGTAGCAGTGCGCCACCGGGCCAGCCCGTTCCTTATTCTTTTTAACAGCTATATAGTCGTCCATCTTGTGCACATATTTAACCAGTCACTTACTAAAGAAGATTTAAAATTCTGTACTTTAAAAATTTTTGGGGCCGGCCCGTGGCTCACTCGGGAGGGTGCGGTGCTGATAACACCAAGGCCCCGGGTTCAGATCCCATATAGGGATGGCCAGTTCGCTGGGGGCCGGCCCGTGGCTCACTCGGGAGGGTGCGGTGCTGATAACACCAAGGCCCCGGGTTCGGATCCCATATAGGGATGGCCGGTTTGCTCACTGGCGTGGTGCTGACAACACCAAGTCAAGGGTTAAGATCCCCTTACCGGTCATCTTTTAAAAAAATTTTTGATCTCATGTGATGAGGTTGCAGCCAAACTTCTAATGTATAAGAGTATTAACTTGCCTATAGTCTCACCATTTGTCCAGAAATTTGGGCAGTGGTTGTACAGATGGATTCAGTAAATGATTTGGAGGTAAAGGTTGGAAGGACTTTTTGTTTTAATTTCCTTGAATATTTTAACAACAAAATCACTCCAATAATATTGAAGATATATTAGCTCAAATTTAAAGGTATACTCATCAAAGAGACTTATCCATAATTCTGCAATTATGCCCTAAACCCATTTTCTCTTTAACTTTTCCAGTGGCAGCTATTTTTGAGGGAAGGAGCAGGCAGTGCCCTGGGGGTAGCTCATCGGTTACCAACTTCTCCCAAAGTCGTCCAGGAGCCCAGCCAGGCTAACTTCACTTCCTCCCAACAGCACCTCACAGCTTGTCCCTGGACATATATATCACTGTTCCCAAATAAGTTGGTTCTGCCCATTTGTAAAACAAGAATAATTCATTTGCCTACTAAACTCCTACCTAGGAATTCTTCATCCACTAAAAGAACAGGATCAAACAGAAAATCAGAAATTGTAGGAGACAGAGAAAAATCTCATCAATTTGCCCACAATTCTAGCATCTCTCCTACCCTACATAAAATCTGGCTGCCTTGGTTCTATCTCAAGGTTTCAAGAAGCAGCATGGTATTCCAGAAACAGCTCTGGATTTAGGAGTTAAAAAACTTTGTTTTGAATCCCAATCTTGCAACTTACTAGCTAGAACTTCCTTGGGTACATCACATAAGAAGCTCTCTGAGTTCAGTTGCTTCATCTGTAAAAGGGGGCTGCTATTTATAGGCTGAATAACAAAGATACAGTAAGATAGCATTTATTTCAAAAACACCTGGCATAGTACATGGCACATAGCAAAAAGTACAATAAATAACTTTTCAGGGGCTGATTATTTCAAAATCCTGAACTGGCAATTAAACCTTTTTCTCACCATAGTGTAAAGATCCAAAGTGGCATAAAAGTACTGATCACAGGAGACATCTTAACATCAGCATTTCTCACCTGCTCTCCTTACTTCATAGTCACTTGCTAATGGGTCTCTTCCTTCGTCCTGGAACATTTAGATTTCTTGTCTTCCTATAGGTCATGAGTCACTGATACCTCCAGAATCAACTGGTCCCAGGTCCTTCAAATTCAACCTCCTTCATGGCCCATTCTGTCCACTTCCCTCCAACTGCCACAGCCCTGGCTCAGTCCCCACCACTTCTCACCTGAGAACTGTGATAACCTCCTGACTGGTCTTCCTGCCGTCCGGCACATCCTTCTAATTCATCCTGCAATGGGCTGCCAGGGGATCTTTTGAAAATATAGATCCAATCATATAACTCTCTGCTTAAGATCCTGAAGAGGCTCTTGTCATACTTGAGAACTGAATCAAGGCCACCCATTATCTGATCCCCGCTATCTCTACCACCACTCCCTTCCAACCAAGCTATGCTTCAGACATACTGAGCCTCTTCATTTATTCATTCAGCAAACATCTGATGAAAGCCTACTGGGTGTCAAGCACTCATCCAGGCTCTATGGATTCAGCAGTGAATAAGACAGACAAGGTTCCAGCCTTCATGGAGTTTCCATTCTAATGGGAAAAGACCAACAACAAGTAAGCAAACATACAGGATGGCTTCAGATAGTGACTGGTGCCCTGACACAAATGGACGGGGTGATGCGATGCGAGTGTAAGCACTAGGGCATAGGAAGGACCACATGACAGGAGGCAGTTGGGAAAGGCTCTAAGTGGGTGAGATTTGAGTTGAATCCGAGAGACACATGGCTAGCTGGGGAAAGAGTGCTCCAGGCATATAGAGTAGCATACACAAAGGTGGGAACAGAGAAAGGGCTGGTACGCCTAGTGGGGCAAGTGTATACATCCATGTGTGTGTGACATGCACACACATTCACATGGTAGGGGGAGCATTCAGTGGGTGGGGGGAGAAGGAAGGGGGATACCTAGAGAAGGAGGTCAGAGACACCAGCAGGAGTTAGAGTGAGGACACCATATTTAGGAGTTTGGATCTTATTTTTGATGTAGTCAAAAGCCATTGACAGGTTGTAAGCAGGAGTACAACATGATCTAAGTTATAAGTTAAGCTTTTGAAAAGGTCACTCTGGATGCTGTGTGTGGAATGCATTGAAGGGGGCTAGAATGGGATTTAGGAAGCTATTGCAGAACCACCTGGGGTTTCCTGAACACAACTTGCTCCTTGAAGTCACTAAAGGTTTGCTCCTCCTAGAACATCTTCCTCCCCTCCTCTATCTAGCCAAGTCTCTCAGAGTTCAAATGTACCTCCTCTTCCCTAGATCCCAGTAGGAGGTATAAAGAATCCCTCCTTTGCAGCCCCACAACTCAGAGCCTGCATATACTACAGAACAGAATACCACGTGGTCTCTCCAACTAGACTGCTAGCTATTCAAGGGTGGGAATTGTTTTTAGCTCTGAGCCTCAGTGCTCAGCACATGACATGTGCACTCAGTAAACTTGCTGACAGTGGACAGGTGAATAGTGTCATTGTTTTAGGGGCCCATACCACTGTCCCCCTGCATCCAGTTACTGTTGTTGTACCTCCTCCCTTATCCTCCACTCAGGTAATGATCATGCTTCTTATTTCTCTAAGAAAATAGAAACAATACAATAATAACCTCCACACACACACACCCACCACATCCATGTGTGTACCTGCCACCATATCCATCTACTCTCCCTCTTGTTGTTATGGACTGTCCATGCTCCTAACTAAGGCCAGCCCTTCTACCTGGGCATCACCCCAATTGTTCCTCTCTCACATGCAGGCGCATCTGCACTGTGCCCTCTCTAACGAATCATTCCCATCAGTACACAAATATCTGTGATATCTCACATCTTAAATTTTAAGAAGGGAAAATTCTTTGAAATTCCACATCAGCATCCAGCAAGCACTTCATTGTTCTACTTCCCTTTATAGAACTCCAAAAGAGTTGAATATATTACTACCTTTATTCTTCTCCTATTCTCTCTTGATCTCATTCTGATCAAGCTTTCATCCCCATCACCTCAGGGAAACAGGTCTTGTCCAGATCACCAAGGACCTCTGTATTGCCAAAGCCAATTGACAATTCTCAATCCTTATCCCACTTGACCTACCAGCAGATTTTGCTATGGTTAACCATTCCATCTTTTTTGAAACACTTCTTATGTCTTACCACAGCAGAAATTTTTCTGGGCTATCCACAATCACCAAGTAGCTATTGCAGTCTAATGGCCGCCTTCTTGTACCCAGAACGGTCAATCTGGGATGCAGTACCACGTGTACTCACCAGAGCCCAGTAGTTGAGTGTGCACAGTCTCATGGAAAATGATAACTGCAGGGCCCAGAGTGGATAAGGGGACATCCAGGCCACAGCGGGCAGTGGTAGCCTTGAGCTCCTTGGTGAAGTGCTTCAGATAAGCTTCTGAGGCATCCCCAAGGAATTTGAAGAGGTCATTATGCAGCCGGTCTGCATGAGTTCGATAGATGACGAGGTCTGAGATGGCCAAGACCTTAAGTAGCAGCCGTGTTCTCTGGCTTAGATTCACCGTAGCCCCCAAGAGCCCTTCCGTGTCTATCACTGCTACCTTGTGGACTGGGTCATAGGCTGCCCACACTCCCACGGTGCACGACTCCTGGGCAGGGGAGGTTTTAAAGACTTCACGGCCATAAAAGAAAGTGTGGTTAAGGGTATGAGACTTTCCATCGCCTGTATTTCCAAAAATGGAAACCACTTTCAGATGCTGATCAGGTTTGCAATCCAATTTCCTAATAAAGTCCTCTTCATTTGTTACCTTCAAAAAAAAAAAGATAGTGAAATATAAAAACTGCAAAATAGCTAGGAATACCTACAAGAAGAATGAGTGTTTCCCAGGGTCAAAGTCTTTGACTGACTTGTCAAAGTGGCAAGGAAAGGAAGCCCCAAGAAAAGAGGCCCCCACAGGAGGAGCCCCTGAAGGCTTAGTCAGTAAAGAACTTAGTGGTCATGAAAGAGTTAAAACTCTAAGAAGAAAACATAGGAATTAAACTTTGTGACCTTGGATTAAGCAATGGTTTCTTAGATATGACACCAAAGGCCCAAGCAACAAAAGAAAAAACATAAACTTGATCAAAATTTAGAACTTTGTATTGCAAAGAACACCATCAAGATAGTCAGAAGAAAACTCACAGAATGGAAGAAAATATTTTTAAATCATATATCTGATAAGGGATTAGTGTTCAGCAAATATTTGTGTCCTAATTGTTTCTTGTCGTGACTGTACCAGTTCCTCCTTGATAGTCTTCCTAAATCCTTGCTTGCTAAACTTCAAAGGGGGTTTAGAATGCTATAGTGAGACTATATATTCCTACTGTTAGAAAATAACGTGCATTGTACTGAAGTAATATCTACTGACCTAGTAGTGGTTTTATAAAACTATACTATTTCCCTATTGACTTGTTATGATTGGCTAGAAAATTAATGAGACTAGCATTTGAAAGAAATTACATCTGAAAGATTCTATGGGAAAATGTATCCTGAACCATTTCCATTAGTTTTTCATTGGGGAAAAATTATTATGATGGCAGATTTTCCTTAAACTCATGGTAGTCTTTTAAGGTAAGTCTTTTTAGGTAAGTTTCATTTACCTAACCTTAGACTGGGAAAATGGGAAAAGCATGTAAAATATCATATTTTTCTTAGTACCAAAGATATTTAAAAAAAAAAAAGAACAAAAGATTACATTTCTCTTATTCTAAAGACATTAAAACGTTTTGCAGTTATAATTATAGGCTTTGTAATATTTTGTTTTATATTTCCAAAGTATTTTTTATCAGTATAAAAAAAAAGAACAAAAGATTACATTTCTCTTATTCTAAAGACATTAAAACGTTTTGCACAGTTATAATTATAGGCTTTGTAATATTTTGTTTTATATTTCCAAAGTATTTTTTATCAGTAATCCAAACCTCAAATATGCTTATGAAGTGGACAAGCAACAGTTTTACACCCTCCATCCCCAATTATCAAGTGGAAAGGCTGAAGTGCAAATATTTTCCCTCTAGACATAATAAAAATGTCATTGTTATCTAATAATATTTAGGTAGAGATGTCAAAAAAATTTTTGTGTGAAATTAAAGTAACTACCAAATAATATTTGCTTTACACTTCTGGGAAACAAAAAAGGAATGAAGTACTGATACATGCTACAACATGAATGAACCTTGAAAACATAAATGAAAGAAGCCAGACACAAAGGGCCACACATTGTATGATTCCCACTTACGTTAAACCTCCAGAACAGGTGAATTCATAAAGACCGAAAGTAGATTAGTGGCTGCTAGAGGCAGGGAATAGAGAGAGGCTGCTAATGGGTACAGGGTTTCTATTTGGAGTGATAAAAATGTTCTAGAATTAGATAGTGGTAAGTGTTGGGCAACTTTATAAATATACTGAAAACACTGAATTGTATGCTTTAAGAGGGTGAATATTACGGCATGTGAATTACTTCACTCACGCATAACCCCACCACTAACAGTTTTAAAAAAACACTGCAGGGCCAAGCCCGTGGCGCACTCGGGAGAGTGCAGCGCTGGGAGCTCAGCGACGCTCCCGCCGCGGGTTTGGATCCTATATAGGAATGGCCGGTGCGCTCACTGGCTGAGCGCGGTGTGGGTGACACCACACCAAGGGTTGCGATCCCGTTACCGGTCACGAAAAAGACAAAAACAAAACAAAACAAAACAAAACACTGCAGTCCTTATAAAAAGCCAGGCCAGGAAGAAAGAGATCTGGGGCCAACGAGATCCCAGACTGGCACTCCTGATGCTCAAGGTTCCTACTCTTAGGATACAGAACCCCAGGGACAAAGCTCCTAATCTAAATAGGTTGTTTCTATTCCAGCTAAAGGACTGATGAACATTTACACCAAGTATCCTCCAGCCATCAGAGAAAAAAACATCTTTTTGATTCTCAAGATTCTGCTGTTTGATAGAGAACAGTTAGAGAAACGTAGACAGACCAATGAGTGAAAATATGATAAGCCTTATTTCCTGTAACCTCATCAAGATGGTAAACCACTCATTATTCTATTAATGACATCACCATTGTTACAATATTAAGAGCCTCAATGTTAATGATAATACTAACAATTCACTAAGCAATCACAGCAATGACAGTAACTTACACTATACCATGAAGGCAGAACCATGTCTATCTTATCGTTATATGCACGGCACTCAGGACACAGCCTGGCACATAGGAGCTCAATATCTAGTTACTGAATGAACAAATGAATGAATGACAGGCACCTTGCTAGGTACTTTAACCACTTTTCCCCACCATACACCTTCCGCAGGGCTGAAAACACAGCAGCATTCAATAAACGTGGTGATGGGCTAACTGACCCACCAGACAACTGAGAGAAACAAGAAGTTACACAGAACAGTCCATTTTGGACCTGTGTCACTCGGCCAGCCTGGTTCCAAGCTGCTAAGCTGGCCAGCAAGAGAAACAAAATAAAAGCTCCATGAATCTCTACCAGCAAGGAGTCAGATCGGGTCAGGGTGGCTGGCTGGAGGAGCCATTCACTTTCTCAAGAAGTCCTTGGGTGGGAAGCTAGGCCTAAGGATTATTTCCCCATTGGAAATCTACTGTCATGAATCTGTTAACAAACCAACCAACAACTGCTATCCAAATACCTAAGAGTGAGCACCTGAAAAAGGGCATGTGGGAGCCTTTAGATACAAAATTAAATATCTCAGGATTCATATTAAGTTCCCACCAAATGATGTACATTATGTAAACAAATAACTCATTTGGGATAGAAATAAAACACTCCATGTCAGCATCTGGGGATATTATTTTGGCAGGCGGTGTCCTGGGGCATGTTAAGCACATGTGTTCATGTGCTGGGCAAATGCATGTGAGTCCAGTGCAAAGAACTCTGGAGGAGAAGCTCAAAGCCTTAGGCTGGTTTTTCTACTGACAAGCCATGGACAATCATTTAACATGCCTTGACTGCATTTTCCACAGGTAAAATGAGGATATAACCATCTTTGCTTCCCTTGACCAAGTAGTAGTTGCTAATCAAATAAACAGATAAATGAGAAAATGCCTGGCAAGCTGAAACTACGCTTCATTCTTCCTTCCTCTGCCTTTCCTGTCATTTTGCTCTCTGTTACTACTAATTCATCCTTAATCTGTGGGCATTTTCCCCTGAGCCAAAAAGGAGAGAACAGCCTGGGCCTAGGCGGTAGCAAGACTGGTTTTCAGTCAGGGAAGGCAAAAGTAAAGGAAAAATAAGAAGATTCCCTTTGTTGAGGGAAGGAAGGAGCCAGAAGGGAACAAGGCTTCTGCTCTACTCGTTCTGCCTGTTTGCAATCAATGACCCCACTTTGCTCCACTCCTGGAGTGAAATAAGCTACCTGACCGGAGCCCTGCCAACTGGCCACGCACCCCACCCCACCCCCATTTACATGTTTGAAATGGTCCTTGGCCCTTACACAACAGCAAAGGCAGGAGTGACACCACAGCTGCCCCTCCCCAACTTCTGCCTTCCATCCTCCCTGAGCTGGCTAGATTCTTAGGCCTCAGGCAAGTCAGAAACACCCGAATTCCACTCCTGGCTTTGCCTCTGTATGGCCTTGGAAAAGTTACTTAACTATTGAAGCCTCAGGGAAACAAGATAATAACTATACAACTCCTAGGTATACCAAGAAGACTAAATAAGATAAAGCATGTAAAGGACATAGCACAGTGCCTGGAACACAGATAAATGTAAGCCATTACTATTTAAAGACCAGCTTGCTGGGAAAGCACCCAGGTGAGCCGCAGTAGCAACTGGGCTTGCACCTGCTTATTGCTCAGAAGTTGCTCATTCAGGGACCGTTCAGCAATGTGGTGAGATCTAAATTGACTCTACCAAAAAATGAAAGCTCTCACTGCTTGCTTCAGATAACTCCTTTCCTCTCCCTCTAATCAAAATAATGTTTTATTATTAATACTGGATTTATAGCTGGCTCTTAGTAACCATCTAATATCATATTATTCTTTAAGAAACCCAATAGCACCTACCTATTTCTCTCTCTCTCCTTCTATCTCACCACAAAGCTTACTTCATATAGAGTTCCAAGCAGAGTTTGTAAAGTGAAATATAACAGTACTCAATGATCCCCATTGTTCCAATTTAGAATTTAGAGTAGTTCATAGTAGTGAAAAGTGTTCCACAGTCAACCTCTGATCCAAGCAGGTAAAGGGAATGATGATACTGTCCCTTCTTAGCCTTCAGAGAATCATTCCAGGAAGAATGATCACACTTGGGCTTTGTTCCAAGGAGGCCTGGGAAGGGGAAAGCAAGAGATGGAGAAGGAACTAAAGTAAAGAGCCTTGGAAAGAGGAAAGTTCAACAGAGCACAGTCACACTCTAGAACTTAAACCACAAAGACACCAGAAAACACTCCCAAGTAAAGTAGCTCAGCACCAAGGTCCTTTGAGTTCTGGCCCCTTTGGATGAAAAGGATCTAATTTGTTCCAATTAGGGGCCGGCCCGTGGCTCACTTGGGAGAGTGCGGTGCTGATAACATCAAGGCCCCGGGTTCGGATCCCACCTAGGGATGGCCGGTTAGCTCACTGGGTGAGCGTGGTGCTGACAACACCAAGTCAAGGGTTAAGATCCCCTTACCGGTCATCTTTTAAAAAAAATAATAATAAAAATAATAATAATAATATGTTCCAATTACAATCATACAGTCTTCTAAATTTTTACAAAGGTGTTCCCTGTGACTGAGGGCACAAATCAGCTCTGCAGCAGATTGG